CTCCCGGATAATCGAAGATGGGCAAAGAGACGGGAGCTGGTTGTTGAAACCACGCCCACCTAGCTCGATGGTGGTGACAGCAGCGACAATCCACCTGTCACTCAAGTGGCCACGCCCTTAATTATGCAGAACTTTAAGGCTTAATATAATTTAAACGGATGAGTTATAAAAAAAATTCACCCCCCTCAGTTGTCAAAATTAGCTATATAGACCAAAATAATTTTCTGAACCAGGCTGTAAACAGTTTTTTTTTTGCTGTAAAGTTGGGCATTTTAACATGGGGAGTCTATGGGATTGACTCCCTTTTGCAGCCAGCCTCTAGCGGCCAGTTGACGAATTACAGTTTAAGTCACTTCCGCGTTGGCTTCACCAGAGAGAGCGGGAGGTTGCCGCTCAGTCACACCACGTGAAAGTGAATCCTGAGCGGTGAAATAATTTTCACCATCAGAAATGGATATTATATAATAGCTGCTTTTTTGAACATTTTAGCAATTTAAAAATATTAAAAAAGTATTTTCTACATGGCACCCCGGTTGGAAAACACTGCCCTAGATATTGTACCGTCACAGCGACGGAACTTTAATCCCTGCATTATTATTATTGCTGCTATTATGAATTATAATATATTATTATTACATATTTAAAAAAAATTTATAAATATTGTACAGTAATTTCACTGTAAAATAAAATTGACTTTGATATGTCCTCCCTAAACTTCCTGTTTCCATAGAAAATACATAAACACTGGAAACAAACACTGTTTCTGAAAATAACTAAAGCTACACTGAAAACTGAAGTAAATTTGAAAACTAAAAAACAACAACAACAACAAATAACCCTTCTGTGAACTTCGGACAAAAGTTAAGTTTGAAAGGGGACAATAGAGGAATGAAATGAGAGAAAAAGGAGTGGGAACTTTACGAGCCTCTCCAGACCTAAAATAAAGTCTGGTTTGTGCAAAGAGCGGGAACAGCCTATTCTATGGGTGTCAGTATGACACTGAGGCACTGTGTTCCCGAGGAAGATGAAGCCAGAGTCACACTGAACCCTTTTTAGCAAATGGCTGCAATATAACAAAGAGTGAAAAATTTAAGGGGGTCTGAATACTTTCCGTACCCACTGTATATATGTATATATGTGGTTCTCATAGGAAACATGCTAGGATATGAACTGCTTGATTTATAAACAGACAACAGGAAAATCAAAACCTGCTACATTTTCAACACATTACATTTATACTACATTAAGTAAATACATATTTAATTATTTAGTTAGTTTAGTCATTATTATTTGATATTATTATATAACATTGTATAATATAATATCATGTTTTATTCTACAATGAGTTTATTCTGCTGAGCACTAATGTCAAAAATATGACATTATACAAATACAAATATATGATATATTGTAGTTTGATTGAATTGATTAGTTTATGTTGATCAAAAATACAATAAAACTATAATATTGTTAATTATTATTAATGTTTAAAATAACTATTATAATATAATAATTCCTGTGATGCAAAGCTGAATTTTCAGCATCATTACTCCAGTCTTCAATGTCACATGATCCTTCAGAAATCACTCTAATATGTTGATTTGGTGCTCAAGAAATATTTATTATTATGAATGTTAAAAACACATTTTTTGTGGAAACCATAATTTAACCATGATCCTTTGATGAATAGACAGTTCAAAAGAACAGCATTTATGCAATCTTTTGTAACGTTATAAATGTCTTTACTGTCACGTTTGATTCATTTAATTCACTCTTGCTGAATAAATATATATATTTCTTATATTTCTTTATTATAAATAAATAGTTTTTTTTTGACTGATTTTACTTTAAAATTTTAACCCCACACTTTTGAAAAGTAGTGTATATTTTACACATGTAAAAATTATTATTTAAAGAACATGTGGTTTACTGCTTACAAACAGTAATGTTTGTACCCTATCTTGCCGTAGAAAGTGCCTTACAATCACGTCAGTGCTCAGTTGAAGGGTTGCGGATCTCACCTGCTCAGGAAGCTGGTGAAAGACAGGCGGACTGGGTATCCATACCGGATCATGCGGACCATCTCCAGAACCCCCACGTACTGGAGCTGTGAGGACACGTGGAAGCTGTCGAACACATCAGGCTTTCCGGCGTTGTTTGGCCTGACACACTGAACAAAGTGAGGTGTACACGCTTGCAGCTTACTGGTGATCTCACACAGAGAGTTCTGGAATGAGAGAGAGCAGCAGGAAAAGACGAGTAAGGCTGTTGTTTATGTAATGTTACATTCAGATTTATCTCAATGACTCCTATTTGCTTCCATTTTTGTAGCAACATGAGTCAAGGTACATCCTCCTCTCACCATCTGTCACCACTTACAAGAAAGCCCAGACAGAACTTTCTTCTTTTTTTTTTTTTTGCACAGAAACCTGTACAATGGATTTAAAGAAACAGTTCAGTCCAAAAATAAAATTCTGTCGTCATTTGCACACTGTCATGTTGTTTCAAACTGGTATAACTTTACTGTGAAACACAAATGAGATAGGTTGAAAAATGTACAGACAACTCTTTTCCATATGATGTAAGTGAATGGAGACGGGAGCTGTTAAGCTTCAAAATATATAAAAAAAAACACAATGAAAGAATCATACAAGTCATGCATGTGACTCATGACTTCAGATGACTTGAAATATAGTGCATAGGTTATATAGACATTTAGTTTTTTTGTGCTTTTTTGTCACTTTTAAAAGCCCAGTTTCCCATTAAGAACCAGTATAAGAAGAAGAGTGAACAGTACACCTCAAAATTTCTCCATTTGTGTCACGGAGGTCAAACTTACGTATTTGGAAGATGCTTTTACCCAAAGCGCTGAACACTACCTTCAAGGTACACTTTTTTTTTTCTTTTCTTTTCTAAATCGGTTTATGCATTTGTTGGGCATTGAACACATGACACAGGTTTGTAACAAGACAGTCAATTAAATATATATATGATAAATATATTTCCCTAATTAAGTAAAAAATGTGTTACGCCCAAAGTATCCTTTATTTTGGACATAAAAGCTTAGATTATGCATACAACTAAACAGTGTTGGGTAAGTTACTCAAAAAAAAGTAATCACCTACAAATTACTAATTACTTCTTTAAAATTGTAATTTGATTACATTACTGATTACTGCATTTAAAAAGTAATCAGATTACTTTACTTTTCAAGTTATCAAACCTAAAAAAAAAAAAATACACTACAAAGAGAAACAAATAGGGTGCACTTTCTGCATTTTCAGTGTCCATGTATATCTTCCTGAAACGAGTCACTAAAATGAACAAAAATGACGAGAGATGTATCTAAAGAGAGTTTGAATTGTCTATTATTAAATGAAGTCAGTCATGTTGAAAACAAATATTATCTGATAAAATAATCCGTATGAAACCAACGCGAGGTACAGTCTTTCCCATCTGAGCTCACCTATAATGTGATCATGGCCACACACATCGCGAGCTATAAAATAATCATCCATGCGAAAACAAGCTTGAGATGCGCGAACATGTAAATGTCCACATCACCTCCGCAAACAATGAAACATTCAAGTTTATCTCAGCTACTTTTCGTTTTTGGAAGACGCGCTGTGAGGAATAAGCCTTGAATTTACCTCAGAAAAAGAATGCGATGCTGACGCGGCTTAATCCAGCAGATGATCTCCTTCTGATGAGTCATTTATTTTTACTTATATTAGTGTTACTGTGACATAAACTTGTACACATTCACTTTTTGAACTTTTCCCAAACTATAATGCCAGACTAAAATATGTCGAGTGCAACATTTTGAAATATGATAGGCAACCTTTCATTGCATCTAAATGTTGTAGGTCTCGTCTGCATTTTAGTATGGTGGCCTAAAAAGGGAGGGAAAAAAAGTTTGGCAAAAGGTGGGCTCGAACTCGGGTCGATTGCGTCAAAAAGCCAACGACACACGCTTATCCATCTGCGCCACTGGAGCAGATGATTTACAGCCACTTTTAACTAAATGTAAATAGACACTCCGTATTTTTTATTCCATAGTAAGGGCAATTCATACAATATATTTAAACTGAGCTACTTTAATACCATCTCCGAACTTTCTACCATGACTCTGATGTTCTTCGGCTGGTTCTTCCTGTATACATTGATTGACAGATGTCTCGTCCAGTCAGCGGTGAGTAATCCCAAACCAATGGCGCGGTCTCAAACTATACCTACCTCTTTCCGGTTTGTCTGATTTGTCGTTGTGTTTTCTGACTTGTTATAATGTTTTCTGAATTGTTGTTGTGCTTTCGGAATTGTTATTTTGTTTTTTAGACTTGCATTTGTAATTTTGTTTTCAGAATTGTGATTTGTTTTGCACTTCTCGGCCACCGTATTTTAGCTATTCTCCGGTGATTTATTAAAAGGCATACTGACGGGCAAAACATGATTTTTACTTCAGATTTTTTAACACTGCATTTGTAACTTAAGTAACATAATTGTATTGACATTAGTAACTGTAATCAAATTACATAAATTTAAAATGTAACGCATTACATTACTGCGTTACCAGGGAAAGTAATTAGAATACCGTAACTGTGTATGTGTTATACCCAACTCTGCAACCAAACATGTAGCCTTTTAAAGAATTGCATTTGACAGCACAAAAGCAGAGGCACTCAACGTATGTGCGCTAGAAAGTTCCATCCTTGTCCAAGGTCAAGGAGTTGTCGGTAACTCTTGAATGACAAGCATTGATCACCAATAACTTTTATTCATAATTTTAGTCACGTAACTGGCATGAAGACCTGAAGGGTAAAACATTAATATAAGTACTGCACAGGCCTGTCAATACTGCACCCTCTGCAGTATTTCAATAAATAAAAACAGTGAGAAATTCTAAAACACAACAGACTAACGTGTACTAATTGATATAACAAGATCGAATTCAATATACACCTTATTAATAAAACTAACAGGCAAGCAGATGATCTCAGAACATGAGCTCAATGAGCTAAACTGCATGCTAAGCATTTTCTTTACAATGTTTTTCTATGGGAAAACAATTAATATGGAAGTTACCACCTTGCATATATTCTGGTCATCATAGTGCTCAGTGCAAACCTGATAAAAAAAAAATAACTGGCAGTAAGCAGAGAAAAGCCTTGTTTTGCCCTCCAGGTGGGTGTGAGATTTACAGAACCTCAGACACTTTGAGATACGGACAATACAGTGACAGTGTATTAACATACAGACATCTGTCTCCACATCTCACTGAGAGAATATGTGGGAAAATGTCTCTTTCACCTATGCATTAGTTCCTTTTCATCCCCTTCCTTCCCCTTACCCATCCTCCCTCCACTTCGCTCACTCAGAATGGTCAATAGTATAATATAATGTTCTACATGAATGCAAGTGACATTCACAGTCATGATTGGTATCATTTAAATTGTCTCAGGGCAACTGGTACAATAGTCTCAATCTTACAAGAAGTAGACTAAAACTTTCTGAAATGCGTTGATTTATACAAAGCTTATCGTTCTGAAAAGTGAGGTGTGCTCTGATTGGCCAGCTATCCAGTTCGTTGTGATTGGCTGAATACCTCAAGCGTATGACGGAAATGTTACGCCCCTAATTTTGTTTTCAGAATTGTGATTTGTTTTGCACTTCTCGGCCACCGTATTTTAGCTATTCTCCGGTGATTTATTAAAAGGCATACTGACGGGCAAAACATGATTTTTACTTCAGATTTTTTAACACTGCATTTGTAACTTAAGTAACATAATTGTATTGACATTAGTAACTGTAATCAAATTACATAAATTTAAAATGTAACGCATTACATTACTGCGTTACCAGGGAAAGTAATTAGAATACCGTAACTGTGTATGTGTTATACCCAACTCTGCAACCAAACATGTAGCCTTTTAAAGAATTGCATTTGACAGCACAAAAGCAGAGGCACTCAACGTATGTGCGCTAGAAAGTTCCATCCTTGTCCAAGGTCAAGGAGTTGTCGGTAACTCTTGAATGACAAGCATTGATCACCAATAACTTTTATTCATAATTTTAGTCACGTAACTGGCATGAAGACCTGAAGGGTAAAACATTAATATAAGTACTGCACAGGCCTGTCAATACTGCACCCTCTGCAGTATTTCAATAAATAAAAACAGTGAGAAATTCTAAAACACAACAGACTAACGTGTACTAATTGATATAACAAGATCGAATTCAATATACACCTTATTAATAAAACTAACAGGCAAGCAGATGATCTCAGAACATGAGCTCAATGAGCTAAACTGCATGCTAAGCATTTTCTTTACAATGTTTTTCTATGGGAAAACAATTAATATGGAAGTTACCACCTTGCATATATTCTGGTCATCATAGTGCTCAGTGCAAACCTGATAAAAAAAAAATAACTGGCAGTAAGCAGAGAAAAGCCTTGTTTTGCCCTCCAGGTGGGTGTGAGATTTACAGAACCTCAGACACTTTGAGATACGGACAATACAGTGACAGTGTATTAACATACAGACATCTGTCTCCACATCTCACTGAGAGAATATGTGGGAAAATGTCTCTTTCACCTATGCATTAGTTCCTTTTCATCCCCTTCCTTCCCCTTACCCATCCTCCCTCCACTTCGCTCACTCAGAATGGTCAATAGTATAATATAATGTTCTACATGAATGCAAGTGACATTCACAGTCATGATTGGTATCATTTAAATTGTCTCAGGGCAACTGGTACAATAGTCTCAATCTTACAAGAAGTAGACTAAAACTTTCTGAAATGCGTTGATTTATACAAAGCTTATCGTTCTGAAAAGTGAGGTGTGCTCTGATTGGCCAGCTATCCAGTTCGTTGTGATTGGCTGAATACCTCAAGCGTATGACGGAAATGTTACGCCCCCCCCCCCACCATATTTGGAAACACAGACTCTCCACGACATGGAGGTGTGACAATAGCAACAATACTACAGCGAGAATAAAAGCTATGGCTTCTTTCTTTGCGTGAACATTTGGGTGGCGTTATGCAAATCGTCCAACACAGTGACATGGATTTGTGGGGGCGTGTTTAAATGAGGTGTTTTAGGAAGGTGTGGTTGAGTCTTAACTTTTATAAAGAATATCTGTTTGGGTTTGATACTTTAGTCTTTGCAACTTTACGGATCTTATATATGCACAAACAGCTTGTAACACTCCAAAGACAAAGGAAAACTTGAAATCGCATCGTATGACCCCTTTAATTAAGTGTGTACAAATCTATGGGGACTAAATAACGTATTATAGAATGAGCAAAGTATGGCACGGGCTGTCTAGAATATTAGTCAGTCGCCTCTGTCTAATGACCAAGACTGACAAGTTTGTGAGTATGAGATCCGTATACTGGCCGGTACGAGACTCAAAGTGTTATAGGAAAAAGATTAAATCAGATTAAAGAGATAGAATAATCAGATATTTAGATAAATTATCTTATAAATGATCAATGATAATTGGCATTCTAACCTAAATTCGAGGTCATAATAAAATGGAGTCAAATCAGACTTTAACTTAAATTAAATAACATTGCGCACTGATAAGACCGAACACGCAGGAAACCTTCATCCACCATTGGATACCTTCATTGGGCCAATTGTGTGGACCTTACATGGGTGTTTCTATAAGAGTGTGACGTCACACGAAAACTATTAATTGACGTTACATAATTTATGCGTGTTGACACTGACACGAGTATCGAAAGTATCGATACTAAGGTGCACTTTATTTACCAGTGGTTTTGTTTATTTAACAAAAATAATACAAATAATAATGCATACAATATGCATTGAATTGGACGAATAACATTTGTTAGCGGGTAATTGTGTAGGATAGAACTATTTTCCTGCTCATCTGAACCATAGACTGTAAAAGATCTGAACACATGCAAAAGACAGAACCAATCAATCACAGAGAGCGTTCACTCACTGCTGACAGTGCATTCAAACAGGGCTGCGTTTCCCAAAAGTATCATAAGAATGCATTAAAGCTTTTGGGAATGGCAGCCCTGAACAATGCTTTTCAGAGAACAGAAAAAAAAAACATAAATGTCAAATCAGACTTTAACTTAAATTAAATAACATTGCGCACTGATAAGACCGAACACGCAGGAAACCTTCATCCACCATTGGATACCTTCATTGGGCCAATTGTGTGGACCTTACATGGGTGTTTCTATAAGAGTGTGACGTCACACGAAAACTATTAATTGACGTTACATAATTTATGTTTCTTTTTCAAAACAATGTGTCAAAACAAACCTTATGGACAAACTCATTAGTGCAAAAATAAATTTAAGGCTCATATACGAGCTGAGCATAAAATTATGTTGCATGCAATGTACGAATACCATAGCATACGTATAAAAACTGACATTTTTAATATGCAAAAATGCAAGGTGTGAGGGAAGTGTTTTAAATGACGGATGGAAATCTGCAGATGTTTCTGCAGAGCCCTGCACACGCAGACTCCATGTGGGTGTAACTGTACTTACGAGGCACAAATCGCAAAAAAGCTGGCTCTGAATGATGATGTCATAGGCCAAGGAGCCTGTGCCGAGTCATCACGGCTGGCAATGAGCCTGCCATCGTCATGTGACATTTCTACTGACGCCAGCCGACAGAAAAGAGATTGGAAAAGACGGCACCGTAGGCCGTAATACATACAATCACCCATTCAAAGGAATAAATGAAAAAAGCTGCCAATTACAACCGTTCCATCTTTCCGTGAGGGCGAATGCTAATGAAAAACACATTAGACTAGATGATATTTATTATTGTTGAAGGATTTCACATCTCTTCTACCACTCTCGTCTGGGAGCTATTTAGGCGTGGATAAATAACGTCTGTGTTTGTGTGAGCACCGTGCATTGAACGTGCTTTATGATGTAATCAGCCCTGAACAGAGAGGACAGATTAGAGAGGAACACTGTGTGCTCTTCTCATAAACCCCTGCACAACCCCTTACATGTCGTGGTGCAGAAATCAGGTCATGCAGTGTAGAACGTGTGAACATAAGCACATTCTGTACCTGCATACCACTAGCATGAGAATGAGGTCAGGACGAAGGCGAGAGCATGTCTGCATGTGTGCAAGAATGTGACATTACTTTAATAGATGGGTGTGTTACAAAGAGCCACTTGCAGTGGTTGAAAGGAGCCGTGTGTGAGTGTAGGGATGTGAATCGATGGGAATTGAATGATTTTCTGTAAGCCTCTGTATTCTTCACTCAATGTGGACAGAGAAATAGGCTATACGCGTGTAATATCTGGTCACACTTTATGTGGTTTATTAGGTCCAATTCTCGCCATTAACTTTGACTTTTGCCTCAAACTCCTCATTCGCTGCTTATTAATAGCTAGTAAGGTAGTTGTTAATTTTAGGTATTGGGTAGGATTAGGGTTAGGGTTAGGTTAGGTTAGTGTTAGCATATTCTGCATGAATGTGGTCATGCAGAATATGCGCTTTATATGTAGCAATAAACAGCCAATATGTTATTAATAGGCATGCTAATAAGCAACTAGTTAATAGCGAAGAATAGAATTATAGAATTGGTCCCATGTGGTACCATGTATGTGATTGTGTGTGTGCGTGTGTGTGAAGCATATACTGTGCTTTAGACCTCAGCACAGTAGTGCATATGCAACTGTTCAAAAGCTGGGGTTGGTAAGATTTTTTTTTTCATGTTTAAAAAAAAATATAGTCCCTTATGCTCACCAGCGTTTCATAAAAAAAAAAAAAAAAAAAAAAAATTTAACCTCTCTTTTAATATTATGTCCCTTTTCATCATTTTATTGTGTCATTACTGAATAAAAGCATTAACATATATAAATACTCAACCCAAACTTTTGAACAAAACTGTATATATATTTAATTTCAAGATAAATGAAACACATTCATTTTAAATGAACTTAATAAACTAAACTGGCATCTCTAGATATCAGATCATGATGTGTTGAATCCGGCATTGAGCTGTTCTCTCCCAAAGTAGCAGTGAGTTTGCTGTATATTCATTCAGTATCCACAACCATCCACAATCACCCACCCTAATCACTAAAACATCAGCAGCCCAAAATTGTTCCTCCCCACTAACCACACTGGGCCTATGAGACTGGCACCACACTACAACACTTCTTCTAAAGCCTGTTGCTCAAACCACAAATACATATGTTTTTAAGACGTCTTCCTGGCAGATCTATAATGTTTAGATGTCGGGCAACGTTTTGGTTTTGTGAGCCTGCAGGCTTTTTTAGGAGATTCAACGTGTCTGGAAACAGGAAGTAAGATCTCATACAGAGCACAATGAGCATCTGGATGGGCCGGGTTGGCTCAGGTCAGGTTTGGGAGCTGGCAGTGCTTCTTATGTGGACTTACCCTGAGCTGCATTGCCACAGTGACCGGTCCACAACGCTCCAGTCTCTGCAGGAAGGACGTCGCTCCTTTTTTCTTCAGGAGCTGCAGAGGGGGGGAAAAAGTTCACTGTTAGGATTGTTAATTAAATAAATAAATGCATAAATATATTAATAAATAAATGTGTAATTTTTTTATATTTTTATTTCATTATTATTATTTTATTTTTTTCTTTTACAGTTTACCCCCTGGCATCTAACTAAAATTTTAAATCCCCCCCCCCCCTTTTAATTGTGGGGGCAAAACATATAACGGGGGGAAAAAGTTCACTGTTAGGACTGTTAATTAAATAAATAAATGCATAAATATATTAATAAATAAATGTGTAATTTTTTTATATTTTTATTTCATTATTATTATTATTTTATTTTTTTCTTTTACAGTTTACCCCCTGGCATCTAACTAAAATTTTAAATCCCCCCCCTTTTATTTGTGGGGGCAAAACATATAACGCAATGCTAAATGTTTGACAAGAAAGAGTCCAGATATTTTGTCGTATCTACTATTTTATGTTTTATAATCCATAATATTTTCTAAAATGTTTTGCTTACAGTGTGCTTGCGCTCTTTCTTTAAATTAAATGCCACTTGCTTTCCTATTTGGCAAACGCAATGACATTCACGCATTTATAAAAGTGGCTTTAGTGTTAGCGAGGCTACTGTATATCAGGGGAGAGTGGAGAGGGGAAGGAGGAGATGTACTCTAGATGTGACTGTTCATCTTCATGCCCTTTTAAGATGGCAAGGCAGCAGAGTTGTACGAGAGCTATGAATGAATCATGCAAGTGCAAACAAACAAAAACACAAAAACACAGTAATATACACACAGCTTTCTGATTTTTTCACCCAAATAGGAAATACTGTCAACAATATTTCAGCTAAAGGTAGACTGTGTCTATGCTTTTTCTTTGTCAACAGGTCATAATACAAAGCAGCACAGGTCATCCTGATTAGGGTTCGGCGTATCGATCCGAAGTATCGATATATCGATACTGACACGAGTATCGAAAGTATCGATACTAAGGTGCACTTTATTTACCAGTGGTTTTGTTTATTTAACAAAAATAATACAAATAATAATGCATACAATATGCATTGAATTGGACGAATAACATTTGTTAGCGGGTAATTGTGTAGGATAGAACTATTTTCCTGCTCATCTGAACCATAGACTGTAAAAGATCTGAACACATGCAAAAGACAGAACCAATCAATCACAGAGAGCGTTCACTCACTGCTGACAGTGCATTCAAACAGGGCTGCGTTTCCCAAAAGTATCATAAGAATGCATTAAAGCTTTTGGGAATGGCAGCCCTGAACAATGCTTTTCAGAGAACAGAAAAAAAAAACATAAATGTTTGAGTTATTTCACAATAAACAAACTGAAATTGTAGCCTACATTTTTTGTGCAATTACAATGATTTAAATTGAACGTTGAAAGATAATATTGATCATGTTCTATTCTGTAATGTTAATAGAAATCATACACTGCTAGAATAAAAAGGTTGCATTTTATGCATGCAACAGCCAGTCACTGACAGTCCCTAATGGCAGTACAAAATATTGCACTAAATCAAAAGTTCAAATGTTACAAATAAGTTAGAATATTAATGTTGTAATACTGGTAGCACTAATATAAAAATGTGATGATATATGTTACAAAAAAGTAAAATGTTGAAATACGTTGATGGTTGTATTTTTTTGTATTTGATCTCAGTATTCCTATCAATATTGTATAAGGGTTTTTTATGCATAATAGTAAGCCTAGAAGGTGATCAAACAGTTTAAAATAGCTGGGCTAAGATATATAACAATTTTTATGACTGCAGAAATATGTTAATTCAGTATACACATTATCCCACCGGTTACAATTGTGACTGACATCATATATATTTTCATGTCTGGGAAAAATTTGGGATTAAACGGGTTAAAATGCGTTTTAAACAAAATTAAGTGGTTTTCATTACCCATTTTACTCTTAGTAATTTAATAATTTAATACATTTCATAATTTAAAAGTTTAGTGCAGAAGTATCGAATCGGTATCGATATCGACGATACTGCCTTGAAAAATATCGGTATCGTATCGAAAACAAAATAAGGGGTATCGCCCATCCCTAATCCTGATAACCCTGATGCAGTACATCCCCTACTTGAATCTCTACATGGATTGTATTTAAGTCACTGGTGGAAAATAAGTTCAACTGGTCTAATGGATATAGGTCACTACTATAAAAGCAGCAAATTTAATTTGAACTAAAGGTGATTCGGGAACTGGAAAGTAGCAGACATCATAGTTCTGCAATATGATCATTGTGCCCTTTTAACCCTGGAGGGGGTCTGTTCTGGGAAATAATGCACAGTAAGTCACTCTAGATTGAGGTGGTGATTTAATGATAGTTCACCTATGATTGTGTGTCTGATTTTTTTGTCTTTTGACTCATACAGCTTTCATTCTCCGTTTTTGTCAGATATTTTTTCATGAATAGAAAGTTCAAAAGAACAGCATTTACTTAAAATAGAAATTATTTGTATATGGTTCAAAGACAAAACCTAATATTATACGTTTGATGCAGCTTTTTTTCTCCTCTTGTACATTAGAATGTGTCCTGTTTAATTAAAAAAAAAATTTCAGAGAGAAAAAAAAAAAAAAAGACACCACGATTTATAGAAGACACCTACTAAAATGTAATTCAGTTTAACAATAGTTCACACACTAAGAAATCTTGTCAGGCATATTTAGAACAAGAATCATTAGATGCCATTAAAACGCTCTATTTAAGGATCACAGTGCAGCCTCCAAAAACTAATTCTAAATCTTTACCACACTTTGGCTAATAGAAGGTTTTAATAATTTAAAATGTAATACAATTTAGTGTGATCACTTTTTTCTTTTATTATTTTAATTATGTTTTTCATTATTTGAATAATTACAGGTTGGAATACCTGTTGTTTCATTTTTACATAACTATATATTTTATGCTTAATGATGATGGAACATTTTTTCTTTCTTATTTTGACATTTTATTTTCATAAGTCATTTGAGTAACATTAAAGTAGACGCTATATTATATATAAGCTTTCCATGTATATAAAATCACAAAAAATAAATAAGTATAGTAATTAATTAATCATAAAAATAATAATAACCATAACAACAATAATAATAATCAGAGCAATTAGACAGACAGACAGAGAGACAGAGAGACAGAGAGACAGACAGACAGACAGACAGACAGACAGAGAGACAGAGAGACAGAACTTCAAGGGAGAATCTCAAGAACATGTATCAGTCATATTTTACCTCAGAATCATAAGACATTAATAAAATATTTTGCATAAAAATGAAGGATTATTTTGGACCATTAATACCATTTGCACCGATCACAATAGATTTATGCATGCTGGAAATACAGTGGGGCAAAAAAGTATTTAGTCAGCCACCAATTGTGCAAGTTCTCCCACTTAAAAAGATGAGAGAGGCCTGTAATTTTCATCATAGGTATACCTCAACTATGAGAGACAAAATGAGAAAAAAAAAATCAAGAAAATCACATTGTAGGATTTTTAAAGAATTTATTTGCAAACTATGGTGGAAAATAAGTAGGAGAATCTCAAGAACATGTATCAGTCATATTTTACCTCAGAATCATAAGACATGAATAAAATATTTTGCATAAAAATGAAGGATTATTTTGGACCATTAAGACCATTTGCACCGATCACAATAGATTTATGCATGCTGGAAATACAGTGGGGCAAAAAAGTGTAATATATTTTCCAATAACCCAGTGAATTAAAAACTTTATTAATGAAAGGTACTTCATCTCATTTGTCTGAAACTTAATGGATGCACAAGATATGATTACTTTTTAAACAAATGAATCAGTGTAAACTATAACTATTATAACTATTAACAAAAGACTCAAAAGAGCAATACTGCAGCACCCTGCACATGACATAGTAGAAAAAAACTAAAATACATTGTGGCCATCAATTAAGAATTCATTCCCACAACTTTAATTCACGGCCATGTTTTATTAATTTGTTCCCTCATTTTAGGTCAATCACGGCCATGTCATATTAATTTGTTTACTTTAGGTAAATTGCACTTAAACAAGGTAACAAATTAGTTCAACATGACCACGACTGACCTCAAAACAAGGGACTGAATTAATAAAACCTGGCCAGAAATTAATAAGGTAATTAAACAAGGGAACAAATTAAGTTACTGAACCACGTATGCATGATTTTTTTCCCTAAACAAGCAAAGCACAAATCATTTGCACAGTTCTTTTTTTTTTTTCTCTATACAATACAATATGATTGGATGCGACACGTGCAATATTATTTATTATACACACACACACAAATACACACTTAGATTTTAATTTAACTTTAAATGTTTTACAAAACATTTAGACGAATTCTGGACCCTCAGTTGCTCAGTTGACGTGAGATTCACCCAATAAGTCATCTCAGAACTAGAGAAACTGCACATCAGTGAAACACAAACAGAGTCTAAGAGTCTATGAGACTGACAGTAGAAAAGGGAGGAGGGTGACTGAGAAATGCTGCAGAGATAGAGCTGTGTGAAGAGCAAACACCCCAAGTGACGCATCCGTGTGTGTTTGTGCCTGGTGTGACGCAGCTTTAACAGACCCTGTATTTTCTCTGAATGGGATATCTGGCTGTGGGAAGCTGATCAATAGACAGAATCTATTTAGGGTACCAGTGTCTAATTTAGGTCACTTCCCAGTGCAGGCTCAATAAGCTAAAAATACTACAGCTTGTGAAAAGTTTGTTCTGGCTGGTCTGGTCATGTTTGCGGCAGAGTCATGTGGTGTATGATCGTCACTGTATGCGATAACGCAGGACAGTGAAGTCACACTGAGTACAGACTTAATGCCAGTGCTCAAACATTTGTCAAAGCAGACTGAGGGATGCCCATGTGCGTGACCAAACAAGCATTGCTGAATGTTTTTTATAATCAAACACTTCATATTAAATCCAATGCTGAATTTTCTCTTAAAATTATTATATTTTAATATTTTAATAAAAAAAAATTTATATTAGTTTTTTGTTGTTTTAAAAAAATAAACAAATACTATATTTTAAATGTAATTAAAATTAATAATAATATTAACCAGAAATACTTATATATATATAATAGGCCTTTAAAATGAGCTTCCACTGGTGCATTACTATTTTTGTCACATTAAAAAAATGTTGTCATAATAAAAGTAAAACAAGAAAACAAGCAAGCAAGCAAACAAATAAACTAATAAATAATTAAATAAATATTCATTACTTATTTTTTTGTTGTTGCTGTTGTTTTTACTAAATACATTTTATTAAATATTATTATATAAACATTAAATGTTATATAGATATAATATAAGAATGTTTATAACATTTACGGTAATGAGAATTGAGAAGAAAATATATTGAATTATTATGAAAATAATGTCACAAAAAAAATTCTAAACATATACTAAAACAGGATTAATTTTATCAGACAAATTAGATTATATTTTATTATATTTATTTAGGATTTTTTTGGTCACCTGGATGTGTTCATTACAAGTTCTGTTCGATTCACCAGCATCAACACCAAAAGAGACAAACTTCAAAATGGCATGCAAAGGAATGACAGATGGTTCTGTACCTGGGGCTTGTGTTGGCCTGCTGGTTCACCTGTGTGGTGCTGTTAGACCGACGCAGATTCTTAATTATATATATATATTTATTTATTTAAATCAAACAAACAAATTAACATTTTATTACAATACTTTATAAATAGCTGTTAAAAATGTAATTAGTGCCAACAGGCTGTGAAGGTTCCACTGGTGTATTTAGATACCTTGTTCAGTTCCACATATTTCTTGGCGTCTCTGGCAGGATTTAGCGTAGTGCTCTTGTTAAGCAAAGTGCCTTTGGGCCCGCGGAGCTTCAGTCGCTGGTGATGGGGAACCAATGAGCCTGTCTGAGTCAGCTTACACTGGAACATTTGATGGATGAGCACGTTCTCACTTGCTGCTCAGGGGGGAAGAGAAAGATGGAGACAGAAAATAAACACAAGGCTACACACGTTTGGAGCTTAATTACGCCAGGCGCCAGAGCTAATTGTCTCCCCTCATTTACACCATCCCCCACGGACACCCTCACAAACAACATAACAGCACCCATTCAAATCACTCCGTGTGCACACGCTCCTGCCTCATGTTGACCTCTGACCTGCTTAACGAGGGGAGAGGAGGATGTGTATAGAGGGTGAACGCTAAAACGTACATGAAATGCACTGCAGCAGGTACAAATGCTAAGATCAGAGTTCACATGTCCACAACACTGGGAGTAACTATTTCAGTAGCGACACTACTAACGAACCATGTAACTTATTTTGAAGTAAATTATTTTGAACACAATGCATTTTGTCTTACATACAATGCTTTTTATATGAAGCGCACAAAAGATTTGACTCACTGGTTTTAACAGTATAGAGTTAGAATGTTGTGAAGCTACCAACTTATACGCTAATTAGCGGTGCACAAACAAATATTAGATAACAATCCATTTGTAATTACACTAAATTATGTATAACAGTACTTTAAGGTGTAGTGTTATAACGTGTTCATTTCTCAAACTGTTCAACATCTTGGGTGGACATTTTTCACTCATTGTGGGAATGCATTTATCGCAAAGAATACATGATAAGGAAGAATTTAAAAGGCAGCATTTTGGTGTCAGAAATGCATTTATGATGCATTAAAATTCTACCCAAGTAGATCAAAAGGTTTTGGAAAAGAGCCATGATTTCGCATGTGAGGATCCTGCAGGTGGCGGACCGTTTATAGCCTTTTCTCACAGCAGCCAGAATAATTAAATGTATTATTTTGATGGCGGATTGTAATCCATAAAGGATTATCATTTAAATTTATTAGCAATAATATTTATTTAAATACAAAAAAACTATGAAAAAAACAAATAAAAAGTAGAAATATTATATAAAATATAAA